CCCTACGCACGTAGGTCCACCCTCTGCGACCTCCACCCGTCCCTGGGCCCACCATCCGCCCCGCGTGCTGCCTCACTGCAGCCACGCCACGGTCCTTACGTAAAACCCTCGGCGGGGAGAGGCCCCCCACCAGCCACGCAGCACCCACCCATCGCGGCGAGACTCCTGTTCTGAACCGTCCCTGAGACCCCGCCAAACCTCTCCTTTCCTGGCTGCGTGTACGGCTCGGGGCCACACGGCCGAGCACGGCCCGTCCTGTACCCCTTCCTGCGGGGGAGCCCGTGTTCTGCTGCACGCGTGGACAACGGCACTGCTTTCATTCCCATCTTCACCCAAACCCACGCCCGTCTGCACCAGAAGAGAGCGAACGAAGCAAAGCAGACGTTGACTGCCACCATCTGGCTTCTTACACCGTTTGGAAAATGTGGGTGCCTCCCAGGCCTTCTGCCCCCCAGACAGCGTGGCCTCTGTCGGCTTTGTCCACAGATCACTCGGGTGCACGGCGTCCCTGCGGACACGCCCGCATGGACGGGTCTGCGTCCCTCCCAGGCCCAACGCGACGGGACCGTGGCTGGCAAACCCTAGTGTTGCCGAGAGGGACAGACTGCGTAACAGCAGCCGGGGTCCTTCGGGAAGACTGTGCCCTCCACCCCTCAACAGGAATACGTTTTCCCAGAAGCACCCTGGAACCAGCTACTTGCTCTTCGAAACGTTGCCAGGGTCTTTCCCTAAAACAGAGGGATTGTTTCCAAAACGTCTAAGTGGAGAAAGCGACGTAACTGGAACGGCTTTAGATCATGTTGGCGCCGGGGTTCGGGCGCGGAGAGAAGGGGCACACAGGCCCCCCCCCCGTGGCGCGCCCCGCGGCGCTGGCGGCCACACACCGGCAGGCGATGTTTCCACTCCGATCTGTTTCCTTTTCTTCCTTCACGCGACTGACCCCACGCGACATTCACAGCCCCTCGGAGGCCCTGGACGGACTGTTTGAAAAACACGGGTTGCCGGAGTCGCCTCTACCTCCAGGGTGAGTACAAAGGAAGTCTCTCGTTTCCTGTTGAGGAGATGTAACCAACAACCAAAAAAAAAAAAAAAAAAAGGTATGACAAGCAAAACTGTGCAAGGAGAGGCGTGGCAGCAACTGTGAGCCACTCCGAGAGAAAGCGGAAACACACCCCGCGGTGACTCCTCTCCCAAAACCAGCGAAGGGAAAAAAAGCGTCGGCCAAGAGTAAGAACAGGAGTTTCAAGAAAGGGAAGCCCGCGCCAGGCCTATCTGGAGATGTGCAAGACTATGAATCAGAGAGTAGTGTCTTTGATTTTTGATACAAAGAGGAATTTGATTCGTAGGCACCGTTCGCTTGAGAGACCGGGCGAGACCAAGGGAACGTGGTGTTGTGTGGTCGACCAGCCGTCCCCACAACCCCTTTCGACCCCGCAGGGCTGCGCCGACCGAGCCCAGCCTGTGTGTGTCTTGGGAAATCCGACAACCTTCCCCAAAGGAGGAAACTGGTCAGGGAATCTCCTCGGAAGGGTGTGTACTCTAGGGGTCTCTGCAAGGCTTAAGGGCAACACAGCGATTGAAAATAAAACTTCCTGTTGAAAATAAGAGCAGGAACCTGTCTTCCCCTCGTTTTTCTTCCCGGACGCCTTTCTACGTCCATGTCGCATGCGTGCAACCTCTCGCAGCGGCGACAGGAGCCTCTCCTGAAACACGTAGCCATGGGTTGGACCCTTTGTTTAGAAGCCAACAAGGTCCTCGGCGGGTCTTGCTGGCCTGGGATGTGCCTGCTGTTCTCTGTCACGCGGATGCCTCATTCTCGGAGGCTCAGGGAACCCCCCCGTGTCTGCAGAGAATATTTTGCAAAGGAGTCTGTCCCCTCCCACACACACAAAAGGAATGCGGGAGATTCCGCTGCACACACGCCCATACACACACACAACGCTCCATCCCAGGTCTGTCCGCAGGGACCCCCGTCCCCAGGTGAGGACGGAGGGAGACCTCCAGGACCCCTGGGCCTGGCAACAGGGACTTCTCAATTACGTGGGCGCCGGAACAATTCAGCGTGGGCCCAGCGTTCACAGCCACTTCCAGCCTCTCGGACACGGCAGGGTTGTCTGCAAGCCGGTCACCAACAGCTGGGCCCTCTCCTTCCCTCAGCGAGACCACGGGGACCGGAAGGCGTGAACGGGAAGGGACACCGCGAGGTGCACGGGGTGCCAGCCCGTCTCCCTCAGAGGAAACAGCCACGGGGAAAAACGTCTCCGTGATCACCCGTGAGAGTTCCAGGGCACTTGGACCCGGGCCACCGAAGAGACGCTCTCCTGCCTTTCACAGGAAGATTACTGTCGTGACCCGCGGACAAAATGCCGGGAAGCCCCGGAAAGAGAGGCAGGGGATGAGGCGCAGTTCCGTTGTCTCCGAGTCCACCACGCAGGTGGGCGATGGGATGGACGGCTTTTCTCTGCGACAGAGGCGCACGCAAGCTCCCGCGGGGTCGAGGCCACAGGCCGGGAACGCAAGCCCCCACGGAGGCCTCCGCTCGGCGGGCGGGGACGGCGGGGCAGCCCAGGAGCGGCCGTGAGGCGCTGGCTCAGGTGGGCGTTCGAGCTTTCCAACAGGGGACCGAGGCTGAACTGACTCTGGGGTCGCCGCGATGCCCGCTGCCCACAACCTCTGCCACACGCCCCAGAGGCGCTTGCCCGGCGCCCCACGGTCCCCTGGGGCTGGGGGACTCTGTGCGGGAGGCGTCCTGGGCCCTGGCGGTGGTCATGGGGCAGCCTCCCTGGTCCCCGCCCAGCACATACCAGGGCCACGCCCTTCCCAGCGAGGACACCCAAAAAGTATCTCCAGAGATTAAGTGTCCTGTTTCGGTGGAAGCCTGTCTCCACCTGCGGCTGAAGTCCCTCCTCCCCTCCTGATGCCTGTCTTCTCTGCACCCCTCAGCGGCCCCCGGGAATCTCGGGAGACACCCGGGGGCGCAGGGTCCCGGGGCCCGAGGACTCTGAGGTCCGGCCAGGGCCCAAAGCGGGGAGCCCGGTCCCTGGCCTCAAAGGACCTTTGTGGCCAGAACAGAATCCAAGCCCCACGCACACATCTGTAACAAATTGTGTTCTGCGTGCCCCCAGCCAGAAAAGAGGCTTCGCTGATAAAGGCTAAAACCCGTCGGCATCTTCAGAACACGCCGTTCCCGGCCCCAAGCCCAGCTCAGGGAGCCGCGGTCCGGGGAGGGGCGTCCAGGAGGTTCATGGCTACTAAGCCTCAGATCTCTGCTTTTGGGGGGCGAGGCCGGCTCCTGTCACCGCCCCGTCCCCTGGCTCCGAGCCCGGACACCCACCCCGGTCACCGAGTCGGCACCAGCGCCCAAAAAGCATCGGCCACCGTCACGACGTTGCGAACCTCCGTGTTCACCCCGATCGGGCCACTCCATTCTGGGCTAACAGTGCTCGGGGGCGTTTTCCCCCCTCACCTTTTCAAAATGACTGGTTTGGGGCCCGAAAGAGAACGAGGCTGCCCCGACGGACGGACAATCCCACAGTGACCAGAAAACCACAGCGGCGGCGAGGCAGCCCCCGCCTACGGACCACTCTGCCCCCACCCCCAGGGCCAGAGCCTCGGGGGCCTATTTGGGTTTTTTCTCTTTCCCCTCACCCCACCCCCCAGCGAGAGCACCCAGCCCCGTTTCCCTGGAGGCGGGCACACAGTAGGTGCTACGCCAGGAAAAACAAAACAAAAAAAAGAATCCATGAAGAATCAATAAACAAGGAGCTGGAGGAATTGGTCAGAAACGGCGCAGCGGCTGGCGCGCTGGGAACACTTGCAACAACCGCGAAAAACAAAAGAAACCGAACCCCCAAAAACCCTATCAAGAAACGGGAGACAAGGCAGGACATTCCAGAAGGAAAGAGAGAGGCAGGAAGTTGTGCCCCCCCCCCTCCATAGATGAGGTTTCATTTCCTCCCAAATCAGCCACCAGGCCTTCCCTGTCTTGCGTGCGCGGGAGTTCTGGCTGCAAAAATGTACGCAGCGCCCACCAGATGCGTTTTGAAACTCCACTGCCCGCTCCCTGGCCACTCCGAAGCGTGGCCGTGTTCACGAGGGCAAATAACGCACCATCAGGCACCAGCCGGCGCGCCGGGGTGGCGGTCTCCCCACTTTCCTTGGGGCCCCGGGACCCGGGCGGGGGTGGGGAGCGGGGAGGGGCAGGCGGGATCCCAGCTCCCTTTTCGAAAAGCAGAAAGAAAAGCACACGCGGCGCAGAGGCCGCACCCTCGGCGCGGGGTTGCAGGAGGGGCTCTGGCGCGCGGCCCTGCCCAGGAAACTTTTGCTGTGTTTCCTGAACTACCTCGCGTGACGCACGGGCCATCTGCCGAGAACACGTTTCTGGCCTTCGCGCAGCCCGGCCTGTCCTCACGGCCGGTGCCCAGAGCCGGCTGCAGTCCCCGCGGCCTGAAGACAAGGAGTGTTTTGGACTCGTCCAAGGCCCAGACTTCGGTGAACGTTTCCCTCCCCCCACCGCCCCGCCCCCGGGCGTCAGGCTCCCGAGCCGCGTCCAAATTTAGGCCCGGGACGCAGGGCGTGGCGCCGAGCTCGCCCCGAGCCCCAGAACAAAGGAGTGGGCTGGAGAGCCCCGCCCGGGCGGCGGCGCCCAGGCGGGCCCTGGGAACGAAGTTTGTCCCTCGGGTGGGAAAGGCGGCTGCCACCGCCGCCCCCAGACCCCTGCGACTTGGCAGAGTTGGTGGCTTTTTGGAAAATCAAAGCTGACGTTTGTCCTCTGCAGTGCGCCCAAAATGGCTCAGGGAAAAAGTTGGAAGAAGCAAGGCGCCGACCGCCTCGCTGGGGCGTTGGCCGCCCGTGGGCGCCGCGCGTCCTGCCCGCCGGGGAGACTCCGGCTGTCCCCGAAGAGCGCCCTCCGTGCGCCGGAGCCCACACCGTGCGCCCGCGGCCCTCCCGGGAGACCCGCCCCGCCCCCCGGGGCCCCAGCGGCCGCGCCGCACGCTCACCCTGGGCGGACACCAGAGTGTGCAGCAGGCCGAACAGCAGCAGCGCGACGAGAGCCCGACGAGCCATGGTGCGCCCGGCGCGGCTCAGGCGCGGTTCCTGAAGTGGCGCTCGCGGGCGGCGGCGGCTAGACTCACCCCCCACCCCCACACGCCGGGGCGGAGCCGGCGCGGCAGGGGGAGAAGGGGCGCTGCGCTGTCACCCCGCCCCGGCCCGCGCTTGCCCCGCCTGCGCCCACCCGGCCCTGCGGCCCAGAGGCAGCCCCGGGGGGCGCGCGCGGAGCTGACTGGCGACGGCTGGGGTCCCACTGGGGGGTCTAGACTGGGGAAAAGAGCCCCGTCCCTCCCGGGGAAAGGATAGGGATGGCCCGTACCCGCCCCTAACGGGAACCCCAGAGCTGTACGGAAGGCAGCAGATAGCATCCGCTGCTACCTCCGTTTATGGGGGATCCCCCAGCGTGGTGTCTCTAAGTAGCACAGTGAGTCCGCCTCCCTTGTCTGGAAGCCTCCCTTGTCTGGAAACGGTGGAGACCCTCTTGGCCTCTCCAACGCCTTCCAGGCTGTAATGGGACCCCCTCTCCACCGCCCCCGCCCAGGGAGACTCCTTAGGAAAACAAAGTGAAATCCTCTAGCTTTGAGGGAAAGTGGGGCGCACTGCCCCCCGAGGTCTAGACTGGACTCAGAGCATGCAGCAGGGTCGGGGGCTTTGGGGCGCAGTGCAAGTGGGTCCTTTGTTCCCTCGCCTGATTGAGGACTGCCCTGCATGGGGCTCCCGTTCCCCGAAATCTCCCCAGGCCAGGGTAGGGGCGGGACGGGGTGGGCAGGGCAGGGCAGGGCACTGAGGCCGCAGGCAGCCTGGTCGCGGTCTGCGCTGACGTTCCAAGGCCGCCCCTGACCTGCGCCTGCCTCTGCCCGGGCCAGGCTTGCAGTACTTTTTTTTTTTTTTTTCATGAAGACAGGAGCTTACAATTCTGTCCGCGTTGCCGCCGGGGCCTGGGACAACGTCTGAGACGGTGCAGGATCCCTGAGTCACCGCGGCACTCCACCCGCCAAAGCCGACCCAGGTCCCGCGAGCGCGCGCCGCGGTCGCCTCCTCCGGGCAGGAGCCAAGGCCCCTCCCCCCCGCCCTGCCCGGGGCCCGTCTGCCGCCGCTCGGTCTGGACGCTGCGCCCTCGGGGCCGCAGCCGGCCCCCTGTGCCCGCGGGGGCCCACCGCGCGCGCGGCTGCGGCAAAGCGCACCTCCTCGGAGACGCCTCGGTCAGACCCGCAGAACCCTTCCCCGGGCGCTTGTCTTCCCTTGGCCAACAGAATCCCAAAGGATAATCGTTCCGGCGGAAACAAAAAAAAAAAAAAACAACCTGCTCAATCTCGGAGCAAACCTGGGCTGACTACCGAGCCGCGGAACGGCGCCCCCTGCTGGGCTCTGCCCTCATGCGCCCTTTTCACGTGGTTTTCTATCCCACCCCCCTGCAGACTTGAAAGTGTCCGTTAGTGCTTTCCCTTTTCCTGGCCGCAGTCTTGGGGCCCATGGAGGGTGGGGACCCTGGGCCCGGGCCAACAGGAGCCCCTCAGGGGTTCCTGATGGTGGAAGAAGAGCAGATGTTGGAGCAGCTGCAGCCTTTTTGGCACCTCGAGGTAAGTCGGCCTCAGCATGAAGCCTCAATGGGGAAAAAAGGGCTACCTGCCGATTCCACAGATTCCTTCTTGGGAAACTTCCAGTTCGCGTCTATGACCTTCAAAAGAAATTCCTACCTGCACAATCCCGAACCTGTCACAAGGGGCCGCACCGGGGAGGAGACCCCCTCTCTTCACACTTTTAATATTCCAGAAAGTTCTGGAGACTGGGTGCCTCCTATCACGGAGGGGCTAGGTCCCCATTGCCCTCCATAATAAATGTGCCTCGTCACTCTCTGAGCGTCGCGCTTGGAGGCTTTTACATCTGTGCCTACGAGAGGCCTTTTAAGACTTGTGTTTCTCATTCATTAAGATGCCTTTGGGTTCTTTTCAAGCGCGACCTTCCTTGGCTCACAATTACAATGTCCGTCATATTTCGCAGACACTGTGGAGACCAAAAAAATCTTTCTCTTCCAGGACGAAGATTAAATTAGTTGAAGAAGCCTCTTGGGCCGTCTCCAAGCTGCGCGGGGGACCTGCTGGAAGGCCGTAAGCGGCCCGGCGAGACGGCCGGCAGCTTCGCCCTTCCTGTGCGTTACTCTGGCTGAACCTCGGGACGCGGCCAGGTTCTGACCGCTTCGGACAGGCTCCAACGGCAATCTCACGCGTTTCTTTCAACGTAACGCTTGGTAGCTGCCAGCCTCGGATGGACCCTTGCTATCTCCTCAATTTTCCACGGTTAGTTCCCCTGACTTGGGTCTATTTATATCCTGTTCTCCAAGCCAGTTCTATGCATATATGTACACACTCTCTCTACGTTTACATATATATCATTATCCATCCATGTACCATCCACTCATCTGTCCATCCATCCATCCCATCCATCTTTTCTGATGCGAGACTCGAATTTGCCTCTTTCACTTCCCTTCTACTTTCGTCCACAAGAAGGAACGTTGGTTTGTATCTACAGTGGCAACAGGCCCGCTAAGAGATGATCGGCTCCATCTTCCTTGGAGTTAAAAAAAAAGAAAGAAAGGAAAAAGAAGGTTCTGAGGAGTAACGTGAATGTCAGCAGAAGTCGTTCGGGAACACGTCTGAAAAATTCATGAAGCGGTAGATCCATGGCTGGCAAGAGCTCCTTTTCGCTTTCTGTGCTCCACCTGGCAGCTGCCTGGAATACCGAGGTGATGCGCGGAGCCCCAGCAGCCAGCCGGGAACAGGAGGTCACCGAGAGGAGGAGAGGCATCTCTCGGAGAATGAGAGCACATGGAAACAGACAACCAATCGTCGGTGGCACTGCTGCGTGGCCGTGCCCACCCTGGATGAGTGGGTTGGCTTCTTTAATGGAAAAGAGAAGTAAACTTTTCCGTTTCCTTTATTAAAAGGCAGGGTGGGTTCGGTCTCATGGACACCACTTTTATTTCTCGTCTTTGTGGCCAGAGGTTGGGCCCAATGTATAACAGAGACTAAAGGGGGGGTCCTTGTGCAACCAAAGCAGCCACGGGGTGTCTTGGCAACACGTACGGTGCCCTCTGTACAAGTGCTCAGGAGAGCACCCGACCCAGGGGGAGGGTCGGTGGGTGGGTGGAGGGATGGAAGGACGGATGGGTCCGTGGGTGGATGGGTGGGAAGATGGGTGGGTGGGTGGGTGGGTGGATGGGTCAGTAGATGGATGGGTGGACGGATGAATGGCCGGACAAACAAGCGAACATTTGCCTGACATCTCTGTACTATTTCGTAACTCACTCGTGGTCGCACACGGGGAAACGGCGATGCAGTGGGAATACGGACTTCACTACCCCACTTCTGCTGATGGGAAAAGTGCCCGGAGCCCCACCGCCCTCGACGGGGCGGGGGCTGGGAGTCACAGCAACGGTTCTTAGCTACCGAACATCAGCCGTGCGCAGCTCACAGCCTCTGAGCTGCCGGCCAGCGCCGGCGTGTTCCTCACGGCGTCCCCGGAGCCAAAGATAGAAAGCCTGTTGTCACCCGGAGTTTGCGTATCGGAGAGTTGATGGTTTCTGCCCATCTGTGGTCCAATCCATGTTAAAAACAGTAACTTAATTCATTCAGCAAAAACCTGATGTAAGTAAGCCTTGTGTGAGGGTGTGTGTGTGTGTATTTTTTCCCTCTTAAACGTAGCCCCGGCTGGGTCTTCTGCAGAAACCAAGAGACGCAGGGAAGCCGCTTCGTCGATGAACAACCAGGCCGTTGACGAAGCCGAAGCCTGTGGTTAGCCTGGCTCAGAATCAAGAATGAGGGCCCCAGAACCCTGCGTTTAACTCACGGATCCCGTTGGTCTGTACGTCTGCTGCAGCCGGTCAACAGCCTCGTGTGTGAGGCCTGTGTGTGTGTGTGGCTGGCACCAGGCCCAGGACCCGGGGCCGGTGACCAGGCTGGGCCGGCCCAGTCCTCACGATGGGCTGAGGGCCGCGTCCAGGGCGTCCGCCAGACACGGGGCGCGGCAGGGAGGGACGTCTGTTTATCTCCGTGCATCTGCGTCTCCTGACAAGGTCTCCGCGCTGCCCGCAGCGGTCGCTGCGGGGGAGCCTCCCCCAGACCCCGGGCCCTTCACATGCCTGATGTCAAAGCAGGACCCGTCGCAGGAAAACCGAGCTCGTCACACAACGCGACGCGTGCAGGTAATAAAGCCCCTTATCTTTGTCTTTGTCCCGAACAGCCCCACACGCAGAGTAGACACTGAATGAACCCCTGAGCGAAGCTGGAGTTCGAGGCGCCCACGCGTGCGCAGCCGAAAACGGGCGGGTCCATTTTGGCTTCCCCCAGAACGGAGCTGCGGGCGGCGCGCTGTGGACGGAAGGCCTGACCGATCCCGTGAGCACCCTGTGCGCGCGTTTCGTACAGAACCTGTGTTGTAGACTCTATCCTTACAGTTTTCTGAACTGGGAAAAAGAAAAGTGTTACAGAGAAGGAGGCGGAAATACACACATCTCCGCTATGCATTTGTGACATTGCTACCTTTTTACTTCCTTTGTTTCATCCTCCTGGCCTGGTTGTGTCATCTGTTTTTTCGAAGTGTTACAAATCTCCAAACCGCATTCCAATATATTGATTACAAAGTATCCCTGGAGGAGGGGACCTGTGTAGTTGATCTCTGGACCTTCAGGGTCCAGATGGGGCCAGTGGGCACAGCGGCTGTGCGCCCTGCTTCCAAACTGTCTCCTTGTTCCAGCCGCTCCGTGTAACAAACCGATCCCCAAACTTAGCGTTTGAGTCAGGCACTCACGTGCTCGTTGGGGGCCGGAAATCACAGCGGCTTTGTGCATTTCCATTTCTGATTGTGCAGGCTGCCGACCGGCTCCGCTGGCAACAAAAGGCATCATTCACGGAGTCACACCATCAAACCCCCGTTCGTTACTGCTTTTGGTTTTGTTTGGTTCGGTTTCTGCCAGAAGTCAGCAACGCCGTCCGCCTGGGCTGGATATGTGCCCAGCAGCGGGGGGCTGGCCGGGGACAGCCAGCCACACGGTTGTCCGTTAAACACCGTTAAGCGAGTTATAAATCCTTG